GAGTCCATGTTTAGGTCCAGGCAAAGAATGGCAGGGAAAGTCACCTCCTGGCTTGTAGTTCAGTACAGCTTGCTTGTGTTGGCGCTGCAGGACTTGCAGAAGTAGCCCTGGAAGGGGGCTGTGCCTTCAAACAGCCTACAATAAAATGCTTGGCACTTGGCAATCGGTGCAGTGATGTGATTCCAGGCCTTGGTCTAGGAATCTTGTAGGACTGACTACTGCCCTGTGATACCTTGGACATCCACTTGTTCTTTCTGAGCCTCAGTTTACTCTGAAGAGTGGGCTCTGCTGACAGCTTTATAAAGGAGATGAATGCTTGAGCACATGGTATTTAGTCACTTGTAAAGAAAGGGTAGCGTGCTTTTACAGAGAAGGCAGAAATACAACACACTCGATAGGACACCTATGACATATCAGGCTGTGCGTCAAGACACTGAACATTTGCCAAGGAACCAAACAGACTCATGTTGGGCAAGGGGGCATTGAATGAGTGATGGGTTTCAGGACATGCAGGAGTGGGATAAATACCAGGGACAGAGACGTGTCAGGGTATGGAGTGGCTGGGGGTGCTCAGACCATATACTGCCTTGGGGTATAACTTTCAAATGATTTTTAAAGGGTGCCCCTCATTCCCAGAGTATTCTCCCAGGACATCTCTGGCCAAGATTTGGGGGGCATCCCCTACCTCTGCCTTCGGCCTTTGGGTTTTCCTCTTTTATGCATGTCTTGCTCTTTGGGAGTGAGGTTGAATGGGGCGATGAGAAGAAAAAGAGACAATGTTTTACAGTTAAACTTAATGTTTATTTAAACATCAGGTTTCTGGGGGAATTAGAAGCCCTTTGTGTATCAAGCTTAGCTGTAGAAAGATAGGGACCTATTAGAAGACGAGCTGACCAGGGTTTCAGTGACCAGTGTCTTAACAGGAGCCCCTCTCCTGGTATGGCCCTCCACTGCTCTCCTGCTATGCAGTGTGCCCAGACACCTCCTTGAAGTATAAAAGGATTCTTGATACTTTCACTGTCGGTTCCTGCAGGCCTATAGCATTAGGGCAGGTATATGCTAACTCTATGTAGATGGTGTGCGGAATCACAGGTGGACTCCACTCTGTTGCATGTCCCTTGGGATCATCCCTTGGTCTCCTATGGTAGTGCTGACTCCAGACTCACTAGCACCAATTTGAAAACCATGATTCCAGCTCGCTGAACAACTGGGGAAGGGCACTGTGGATATGTGCTGGAACTTTGGTGTCCTCCAGAGAATACGGTTCTGTGTCCTTCCTGTGTGGAGAGACACAGAGGATAGGAAACCAAGCCTAGAGGAATTGGGAATGAAATAAGACATCCAATTCAAATCAACACATATTTTTTTGAGCACCATGAACATACAAGGAACCATTCTAACAGGGAACAAAAGACCTCTTAAATTCCAGTGGGGGATCATTTCATCGGGACCCCTCCCTTTACAGAAAAGGGAAATGAAGCCCAGCAGCATAGAGGGGAGAGTTTGACTTGTCCCAGGCAAGGTCACCTAGCATGCCAAGTGCAGATCTCTGGGGCCAGATCTCTGGTTTGGAGCTGGTGGTACATGGATACTTCCCTCCCAGCCCCCTGAAATGTGACTACTATTGATCACGTTACTTTCATATAGAAATAAAGCCCCATTGCCATTAGACTTCCTATCCCTGTTTCAGCCCACTTATTTTCCTCCACCACTTACACTCCAGGTAAACATTTCCTCTGAACTTCTGAAGCCACTTCTTCAAGGTTCTCATTTCCCTTCATATGTTTCCTCTTGGTTCCACTGAAAACCCTCTCTCTGCCCTTCCTCTCTGCCTCCCGGGGCTAAGCTACCCCTTACTCCTGGGCTCTGGGCTGCGGCATCTGGCCTCTCTCAATCCTCCCCTCTTTTCTCTAAACTGCAAACAGAGGTGGCCCGAGCCTCGGAAGGCTTCTGAACCGAGGGCACCCTACAGATGTGTAAACATCTTACCTTGCTAACCAGGCAAGCCGCCTTCCAAGGGCAACAGGAAAACCAGGGGCTGGGAGCCCCTGGCAAAATAAAAACCTGCGGGAGAGAGAGAGAGAGAGAGTGCAGAAGATTCTGTTTCAGATTTGAATTTTCTCATTAGAAGACCCTTCATTTTCTTTTCGTGGCAGGACGGAGTAGACAGGGGAGGGAAAGAAGCGGAGCTAAGATACGGGGCTGGACATGAATGTGGTGACTTCAGCAACCTCTGCTACTGTTGATTCCTGATGTGCAGAGAGATCTGGGGCAATGGGATCCAAATTTGGAGTCCAGTCTTTGTCTTTGGAGGGAGTTGGCAGGGAGGTAGCCTTTTATATATAGTCTCTTAGTACCATCTAAGCTGATGGGGATTTATGATTTACAAGAAGGGCTTGTCCGTGAGATTGAGGGGACTTGTGCCTTCATTCCAGCTCTTAACCAATTAGGCAAGATACCTTCAGGGCACCTACTCTCTTTGGCTTTGTTGCATTTTATTTCTGGTTGTTTCCTACTTTTTCATCTTTGATGTTACTCCCAGACCTTCCAGCATCTTAAGAAGGAACTCTTCTTTGGACAGCCATTGTATGCCAGGGACTCTATACCCACTATGTCATTTAAGTGTGACAACATATGAGGGAATTAAGGTCCACAGAGGAGAAGTGACTTTGTCCCTGATGTACTGATAGTAATTGCTGTCATTAGAATTCAGGCAGATTATCCTGAGTCCAAAGATCCTGCCCTTTCTCCCCATACCAAGAACACATTCTGCCCTCTGAGTCTCTCTGTCCTTCAGCCATGGAGATAAAAGTATTGTCTTTTACTCTGTTTGGTCCTTAAAGTCCTTGCCTTGTCTCTTTGCCCACTCTGTTCAGAATCACATGTCCCGTGCTTATTCATGAGACACTAATGGAAGGCCTGCTGCAGCAGGTGCTGGACAGGTTATGGAGATGATGACCCAGACGTGGTCATCACTCTCAAGAACACCCAGTCTTGCAGAGAGGAGGCAATGGGAAGTCACATAGGCAACTCTAGAACCGGACAGCCAGTGTCAAGTTTCCTAAAAGTAGAACAGGTTCAGTGGAGGGAGTGATTTCTACTCACAGGGCTGGCATTGGAAATCCTGGAATAAGGGAAATCAGACTGGGTCTGAGTACATAATGGGGAACTTCATTCAGTCCCCTGCTTGACCACACAGAGAACCAAGACCCAGAAGATTTAATTGGTGTTTTGCCAAGGTCACCATAACCATAAGAGCAGGATGACTGTGGATGGAGACTCTGTCCTGAAATATGGTTCCGCAGGGAATGGGAAGAGAGGTGTAGATGGGCCTAGATCCTCAGCCAAAATCCTGGCTGTGTTAGCAACTAGCAGGGATTTACATAAATTCTCAGGTCCCAGAGCCACAAAGGAGTAAAGACTGTGTGGGCCTCCTCTATTGATTTTTCTGGACACTCTCCATGCTCTTTTGATGAGCATAATGGCAGAGGCACACTCAGAGTTATGGTGACCGCAGTGATTCTCCATCTGAGAACAGGGACTGTCTTTCTAAATGAGCATCATCTATTCACTCTCATTTCCCTCTCTTTCTCCTCCCACCTGGCCTCATGCATCATCTGACACTTAAAATACACTCTTAATTAGAAAGTCCTCTTCCCTATCCAACAGCTTTGTTTGTGCCAAGGACACTGGGTATATTCCAGAAAGGCTAGGAACAGGGGATTGGTAAGTATAAAGATAATTAGATCCAGAGAGTATCCACTAAGCTACTTCTTAACATTCTCAGAATAAGTCTAGGGATGCCTGGCTTGGAAAGTCCCCAAACATTTAGCTAAAGCATGTGATACCCCCCAGGTAGCTGAGTGGTCCAAATCCCTGAGGCATGAGTAAAGGGGTAGGAGATCCTATGAAACTAGCACACAGGACAGTGAATTCCAGAATCTTATAGAACTGGGATCCACTTACCAACCAGTTGACCCTGACCCTGTCTCTTCCCTTTCTTTAATTGCCATATCCATCTTGACACAAATTAGAAACTTAGTGTCACTGATGTATTAGCTGAACTAATACATATACAGACCTTGACACAATCTCTGGCCTGCAAAGAGGCTTGGTGGACTCTGCTCTAATGTACTAATAATAATTATCTAGGCATTCCTGGCCTCGTCTTATGTTAAGAGGGTACACGTGTGTCTATGGATTATATATGGATTAGTACTAGAGAAAAGCAAGCTAAATTGGGTCTTAGGAGATTTGTCAATGATCCCACGGAATGCAACAAACGCTTTCCATTCTATGGGTCTCAACTCCCTCACCCAGAAAGAGAAGGAGTTGGAGGTGATGATCTTCAAAAATGGTTCAGCTATTAATTGTCTGCCTCTCTTTGGGGGTGCACATTAGGGCTTAGCCAAGAATCTTGTTAGAAATAGCCCTTCTCAGTCCTTGGCCCTCACTTTTTTAAGCCAAGTTTCCACAGGGTTGACACCACAGATCATTGAATGACTGCTAAGTGGATCCTAGGGAATGCCCTTTTAAATGAGCACCTTCCATTTATCACCGCCTCCCACTATTCCTCCTTTCACAACAAATATTATACTACAATTAAAATACTCTCTCCACTGGTCTTCTTTCCCATTCAACTCTTTGCGAAACCAACGGTTTACAGGTTTTTATTACCACTGTTCTTCTTAAGTTTTCTTTCGGGGTAGCACGCATTTTTCCAAAGTTTTCTTTCATGTGCCATATTGAAAAATGGCAGTAAAACGGCTTGAATTCAAGTTGTGTAGTTAGACGGCTTCGAATATAGCTCCCTTGCCCTCTCAGTCCTCCAGCCTTCTCCTTGCCCTTGGGGGGGTCCCAGAGGCAGGGTCCCACCAGGGCAGTTTGAAAACCACTGGTGCAGAATATCCTGATACATATTTAATCAGAGAAAAATAATTTCCCCACCTTCTCCTTTCATCCTTTATTCATTGATCTTTTTTTCCTTTGGGGTCACACAGGGCTGTATGACAAATGCTCTTACACCTCACGAGACCGAGGATGGGTCGTGGGCATTCACACTGTCAGTGATCAAGGCAACAGAGACCCACGCTACTTTTTCTCCTTGAAGACAGACCGGGCCCGGCAAGTGACCACCATCAATGCCCACCGCAGCTACCTCCCAGGCCAGTGGGTATACTTAGCTGCCACCTATGACGGTCGGCTGATGAAGCTCTATGTGAACGGTGCCCAGGTGGCAACCTCTGGGCAGCAAGTGGGTGGCATATTCAGCCCGCTGACCCAGAAGTGTAAAGTGCTCATGTTGGGAGGCAGTGCTCTGAACCACAACTTCCGGGGCTACATTGAGCACTTCAGTCTATGGAAGGTGGCCAGGACTCAGCAGGAGATACTGTCCGACATGGAAACTCATGGCCTCCACACCCCTCTACCTCAGCTCCTCCTCCAGGAGAACTGGGACAATGTGAAGCGCACTTGGTCCCCCATGAAGGACAGTCACAGCCCCCGAGTGGAACTCAGCAGTGCTCATGGCTTCCTGCTGGATACGAGTTTGGAGCCCCCTCTGTGCGGGCAGACGCTATGTGACAACACAGAGGTCATCGCCAGCTACAACCAGCTCCCGACTTTCCGCAGGCCCAAGGTGGTGCGCTACCGCGTGGTCAACCTGTATGATGATGACCATAAGAACCCCATGGTGAGCCGCCAGCAGGTGGACTTCCAGCACCAGCAGCTGGCCGAGGCCTTCAAACACTACAACATCTCCTGGGAGTTGGAGGTGCTGGAGGTGAACAAGTCCTCTCTGCGCCAGCGCCTCATCTTGGCCAACTGTGACATCAGCAAGATCGGGGATGAGAACTGTGACCCCGAGTGCAACCACTCGCTGACTGGCCATGACGGTGGGGACTGCCGCCACCTGCGCCACCCTGCCTTCATGAAGAAGCAGCAGAATGGTGTGTGTGACATGGACTGCAACTATGAACGGTTCAACTTTGATGGCGGGGAGTGCTGTGACCCCGAAATCACTGATGTCACCAAGACGTGCTTTGATCCTGACTCTCCACACAGGTAAGACCCTCCTGGGCAGAAGATGCCCAGTAAAGAGCTGAAAACTCTGCTCCATTTTATAGATAAGATCCCCTGAGGCCGATAGGGTGAGGACAATTTGGTCATGCAGCAGTTTAATGACCAGGGCGAGTCTATGGCCCAGGCAATCAAGAGGACCATGTGCAAGCATAGTTCATTATTCATCTTGAGAATTTCCCATTGGTCCTGAAGAAAGACTCAAAGCCCTGTGTTCTCAAAGAACTCAGTTTTTATATTGGTTGGCACACAATGAGTACAAAAAGCTATGTACTATGTATAATGGAGTGGTTTAGAGCTTTGCCCTTCAGTACAGAAGTCTCTTGCCACATGTGACAATTGAAATTTAAAACAGTTAAAACTAATTAACATTTAAAATCCAATTCCTGAGTTGCATGAGCCCTATTTCCAGTATGAGGTCACCACAGGTGGCTAGTGGCTGCCATACTGGATGGAGCAATATGGAATATTTCCAACATCATGGCAAGTTCTAATGGACAGTGCTGGTGGAGCTGGAGTCGGTGGGGTCAGACAACCAGAGCCTGACCTCAACTCTACCATTTTCTTACTTTGTGACCTCTTAGAAGCTTCTAAGGAAGTTTCTTCGTCTGTAAAATGGGAATGAATATAGCACCTACTTGGTTCAAGTTGCAGTGGGGACTGAGAGGATGTATAAAGTGCAGTCTCTTGCCATCAGTGGCTAGCACATAATTAGCTCTTGATCAGTGTATTTGTCATTCCTTGTCTAATGAATGTGAGTGTATGGTGTTGAGGGGGTGGCAGAGAAGATCCAGAAAAAAGTTGACTTGCACCTTGAATATGAAACTTCTTTGGAAGAGGTGATATGTCAGCAACGTCTTCAAGACTAGGTGCCATTCGAGGCATAATAGAGCAAGGCTAGAGATCTAATGCACATGAAGACTGTAAGTAATAAAATTGTACTGTATTTGGGATCCATGCTCAATGAGTGGACTTGAACTGCTCTTGACCAACATAGGCACGTATACACAAAGGTAACTATGTGAGATGATGGATATTTTATGAGTTTCACTATGGTAACATTTTTATTATCTCCATGTATCCCAAAACATCCTGCTGTAGACCTTAAATATAAACAATAAAATTCATTTTTCAAAGATAGGTATAATTTGGACAGCAGAGACTAGGGGAGAAGGCAGGACACTGGAGGCAGGAGGAACTGCTTTAAGAAGGCTAAGAGAGGACCCCTATCTGATGCCTTGCTTAGTCTTTGTCATGACCAGTAACTCCAACCTGGACCCCAAAGGTGAACTCACCAGTGACCCGTAGTTAATATGAGACCTGAAGAAACTGGTTTTAATCCAGAGAGATGGACTACATCTATTTTCCTGTTTTTCCCAGATTCAAGCTGAACTTTCCCATTCTGCCCAACACACAGGACCCTGCACTTGCTGATGGCTGTAGCACATTTGCCGACCTCTGCAGGTTTTCTGCTGACGCTTCCCTTTATGTCTCTGTCAAAAGAGCAAGGGCCTCCTGTACACAGGCAAAGTACCTATGTGCAGAGGAATGACAGTGCTTCCAGGGGAATGTCCTGCCTGGCAGCCAGTCAGGAAGCACTTCAGCTCAGCCTTCTGGCACCAGGAGGGCCCCTGGACTCTCACCTTGGCGCCGTGACATGTGAGAAGCAGCCTTGCCATGTGGCTAGTTCCTTCCAGGTCAGGTGGCACCGTGAGCTCTGCTTCCATTTAGTCCTTGCCAGAACTTTACAAGGGAGAGAAGATAGGCGTTAACCTTTGTTTGCATTTGACTGCTGAGAAACAGAGGAAACTTGTTAGAGAGTGAAATGACTTAGCCAAGTTCACAGATGAGAAAAGTCAGTAGGTGAATCATAAATGAAGTTCTTCTGTGATCAGTGTAATTTGTGTTCTATTAAAGCCAGGAACCAGAAGGTACCTACGTGCCAGAGCAGAGTGGGCATAACTGAAAGGCAGTCACCCATTTGTACATCCATTCATTTACTCATTCACTCATTCATACAACAAAATATTCGTCCAGTCCCTGCTAGGTGCCAGGTAGGTAGGGACCCTTGGCTTTATTTTGCTGAAGGAAATCCTGGATTCAGAAAGATGAAAGGATCTAACCAAGCTTACCCCACTAACATATGGAGACGTTGGATTCAAACCCAGGCCTACTGACTACAAAGCTCCCACTGAAGTGGGATATTTTTAAATTCAAGCAACAATTAGAGGCAGAAATAAAGGACAGGGGTGACAGGCAGGGTGGCTTTACTAAAGGCTTGGGAGAAAGCTGATGACAGTGATCCATCACTGGGTCAGGATCCAGGGAAGCTGGCGTTTGCAGAGCACCATGCTGGTGTGGAGGGGCTGTGGGGCCCCATGTTCCAGATAATTCACAATTAGCAGACAGCACTGGTAGGTTCCAAAGGCCTCCGCTAGCCTCAGTCATGGCACTGCATGCCCGGAGCACCTGTGAATGACCATGTGTCTGTGCTGTGACCACTCATGCCATGGTCTATTTGTTTGCTGGCTGGCAAGACTATATGCCCCACCAGGCTATGTGTCATCTCCCTATGAGGCTGGGGGTTACAGGGTTCTGGCCAAATCAGCTTTCCTGGGTGAAGAGAGAAACCTGAGGAAGAAATAGTTTCTTTGCAACCTTAAACAAAAGAAAGGCAGGGTGGGAGGGAGGAAGGAAGGAACGAAGGAATGAAGGCAAGAAAGAAGGGAAGAGGGCCAGCACTTCTAATAGAAACAAGGAAACTAGGTGGATTTTAATAAAGAGCTGAAAGCAAAGCTCATGCAGAATTTGTTCTTTCTCTACCTGTAACTCTAGCTCTATCCCTATACCTATCTTTCCATGTCTATCTTTACCTCTTTTTATGTCTCTTTCTTAATGGCTAAAGAGAATATTTAAAGCTCTACTTCTTAACCTATGGCAAAAGACAGGGATTTTTTTTTCACTAAATGTCTCAAACTAGTATCTTTTTCATAGACAACAAAAATGAACTGATACAAAAAATGAAAGTCCTTCAGAATCCTGCAATAATGTCAGGTTCTCGAAAGGTTTCCAATTGCTGACTCTCCATTTCTGTATTCTCTGTGCCATGGGCAGCTCATGGATGGCCCACTTTGAGTAGCACTGATTAAAATTCATCGTTCTCTCAAATTCTGTGATACTTCTCCGGAGAAAAATAAGATCCACCCAAAATGCAGCTGAGCAAATTGTCGGATTCCAACAGAGAAGTACCAATTCTTTTGAACACACTGAAACTCTCCCTTTTTGATCTGCTAGTCCTTGGTCCCATTGGTCCGAGATTCAGGAATGCATGTCTTACAGGAGAGTGCCCAGTTCCTGAGGAGGGTCTTCAGAAGGCATCCGAATGATGTCAGTTTTCTGACTTGGCAACATGCTCAGAGATTATTCAGCCCAACCTCCTTATATAAAGGGAGACTGAAGCCAAAGCTCACACAATCCATTAATGGTGAAGCCTGGGGAGAGGGGTTCCAGATTCCCAACCCTGGTCATCTACTATGGCCCGGTTTCCCAGAATTGCCATGACGTTCTTTTTAGACACAGACACCTACTACCTCATATTCTGCCCTCACTGTCTTCTTCTGCTTCTCCCAAGAGCTTGGGGTTGTGAAGTGCTGAGTAAATTAGGAGGAAAATTAGATCATGGCCTTGAGTTTTTATGAGCCACTTCAGAACTACTATAGCTGCATTGGCAGTGGGTTTCCTTACTGAGAGGCAATGATAAGGACAGCCAGCTGAGGATGTTGAAGAAGGCCACTAGAACAGTGAGGAACTGGGAGCCATGCCATATACCCATTTGAGAATGCCTGAGCTGAAGGAGAACATTGTCACAGGGCCATGACCACACAGTCATGCCACATATGCTTTAAGTCTCTGAAGGCCTGTTCTACGGGAAAGAGGACAGAATTATTCTATATGGTTTCTAAAAGCATGGTTTCAGCGGCAGGAGGAAACATGGAGCTGAGTGACAGATGATGGTGTCTCCAGTCCATGTGGTTCTTCCTGGGGACTGCTTCATTGCAGGTGCATGGGCTCCCCATCACCAATGGCCTGAAGCAGGCACTGATAGCCATGCACAGGGAGACCATAGCTGTGATCACAGTGCTAGTGGAGAAAGTGACCTTGTTGGTCTTGGGTTGTGCACAGCCCAGCCCAGTCCAGCCCAGCACAACCCTTTGTTGATATCCTATTCCAGGTCATGTTAGGAAACCACATGACGGCTTCTTTTCTGTCTCTTAGGCATTTATTGGGTATCCAGCATCTCTGCTATTCATTGAAGGTATTGTGATGGGCTTAATGTGTCTTGCACCATAGAGGGGCCTCCAGTTTTACAGGAAAGTTGAATGAAAGCATTATATGTCATCAGATTGAGGACAGAAGACCTGAAATGCCAGAGGTTTATTCTGATTAGGGAAAACAGGGCAGGAGGAGGGATGATTTGAGTAGACATCCAGGAATAGGCAGCCTGTTGAGGAATAGAGACTCACACTGCATCAGTCATCAGGATCTTGGCAGGGAACAGAGGGCACATTCAAACAGAATAATTAAGGAGAGTTGAAGGAGGGGCTGTTTTGAAGGCACAGCTATTTACAACATTGCAGGAAGGGTTTAGGCCAACCAACGAAACCTCGGGCTTAACTCAGAGCAAGCAAACCCAGGTAGCCATTTCTACCTTTGATCCGTGGGGTTAAGAGAAGGGAGTGACCGTGGAACCCAGAGAGAGTGGCGGAATGGAGAGGGTTTCCTGGCAGCAGCTGTGGCTCTCAGAAGAGGGAGGCAGCCACCTGACTAGAAGGGACCTAGGACAGGAAATTCCACACTGTCATTCTCTCCTGCCAGTATTTTCCATTGGGTGAACCAAACTGGAAATCACAAGGCAAAGGGACTTGATGCAACCATAGAGGCCACCCTCCCCAGGGGGTAGGGAAAAGTGGCTCAGGATGAAAAAA